AGAGAGAGAGAGAGAGAGAGAGAGATAGATTGAGCTAGACATGGAGAGACACTGGGCAATTTAGTAGTAGTAGTAGTAAATAGTAGAGACCTTGCCTCAAAGATCGAAAGGACAAAGTCCAAAGCTTTCATTTTTATTTTTGCTGCTCTACTGGCAAATAACAGAATAATTCTATAGACTTCTTATATTAGCCGTCTATTATAGGCCTATATATATCCTTCAAACAATCCTCTTAAATTAAGAGCCACTTAATCAATTTTAACCACACACACAGCTTATATATAAAAACACGAAAAAGCCTACTTTGTGTGTCTGAACCCATTATCCCAAGCTCAAAGAAATTATTTTTGCAAAAGCTTGTATACAAGCATACACACAAAGTGACATTCTATTTTGATCCAAGAGGTGAATGTGCCTTCTTACTTTAAATAATGACCAAGGCAACAAAGATAGATTACAGGCCTACTGTTTTACTGTAACGAAAGAAAGACTGCTTCGCAAAAAAAACAACCCAACTACATATATCATTCATGTTCTTTTTTTATTCCAGGGTTCAGTATGGCAAGCCCTTCATTAGCAAAGAACAAACACTTAGAGTAAAATAGTAAGTTTATTTTATTATATTGGATTGCCTGCCTAATTATTCAAAGTATATAATGAACGAAACAATAATCTCTGACTCATGCTTCACTGTACTTTACCTGGAAATTAAAGTAAAATACATAAAATGCGAATTTAAAATTAAAACATAACAAATTTATGTTAAATAATTAAATGTTTCTTAGCAAAATAAAAATAAAATCTATTAGTCTAACATCATGATTCAAAATGTCAAAATACCAATGAAGAGAATTTGAAAATAGGCCTGCATGCACCTCTTGGAGTACGTCAGTCGCAGAAGTAGAAGTCGTAAATGAAAGCCAATAGCCCATGCTAGCTATGGGAACATATAGCATAGCCTCTATACAATACTAGGCCCTATATTCCAATATCAACAACACATTATAAATTATAGAGGCTAGAGGGCCTATTAACTATTTACAATAGTTAATTGGGCAGGACAGAAAGCAATACACTGCTGACGAAGACGTAAATGGCACAGCTAGTCTAGATTCAGATTCTAAATTTCCCCGCAACTAAAGGCCAACTCTAATTGAAATTCTCACGACTGCTATTGTTTTCGTGAACACTATACTAATTCCCTGCACCATCCTGTCCTGTTTCAGTGTCTGTATCAAAACACGAATTATTGAATCAAAATACTTCAGACTTCAACGATGACGACGTCAATGTGCAGACCACATAGATCTAGAATCTAGATACATATTGATCTAGAAATCTAGATCTAGATCTAGATCTAGTTGATATACGGTACCTGTGAAATGTCCCACAAATAGACGAATATGGTGGTCTCTTTTATGAATTGACGGATTCTTCCGAAATTTCTGAACTCTGAAATGTTTTCGATATGAGCTCCCTCCTACGACTGGCTCGAAAGTTTGCAAGGCAATGTTTATATATGTTTGGCGTTTGGCTTGTCGGTCTGTACTCTGTACCAGAGTGGTCTGTACCCTCACGCAAGTTCCGCCGGAACTGAGAAACTGAACCAATCAAATTGAACCACGGTGTAGGAGTTTCCAGTCAGGGGAATCCCCTGAATACATGTAACTGGCTTAGTCCGTTCACCCCGTTCTGATACCGTTTTGCTCACCCGATATTGAAGAAGTTGAAGACACAGTTCAGGTTTTACTTGCCGTAAACGACCAGCAGACAGACAGACAGACAAACAGATAGACAGGCAAGCAGACAGCAGACAGACGTACGTATGTACATGCGTGCACGTACACACACACACACACACACACGC